CCCCCCCCCCCCCTCGCCTTCTCAAGGTCAATGGTCTAACAACCGAACGCATGCAAAACACGAGTACCCCCCCCTCCCCCAGCAACAAGTGCAATAAGTTGTTCAGCCAACGACATGCACACGAAGAGGGTGGCTAAATTCGAGCCAACGCGAAACACAAGCCAGATCTAAAATCAAGCCGGAACGGTCTGCTACACTTGCTCATGCTACCTCTGCCAAGTGCTGTAAGTCCGGCCGCATCAATCGAAACCTCGTTCCGCGATCAACAGCTCACCTCCGGGTGTCAACGGTCTTTTCAGTTCGGGAGGTTGTTATTCCTCGAAAACGCGTGTTTTCGAGAAAAAATTGGTCAAGAATTAGGAAAACACTGGCTGGCTAAGAAAACAACAGCCGGATATGGCAACACCGTCGCTCCAACGTCCACAGATGGGGTCCTTTATCATGCAGCACTTTCTTTCTGTCTTTTTTCTTTCCGTATTTCTCGCCATCTCTTTTCCTCGCTCTCTCATTGGAAGTGACACCGAAGACAAAGCCCGCCGAAGTTCTGGGAATAGCGCCGATTCTCCATAAACCACAATCAACCCCACGAATGCTTGAGGTGCATCCTTACCCTTGACTTCCACCATAATTTTGGGCAATATCATCCGCCCTGCGTGCATCGTGATGGGCCTCGGACCGCAGTGATGGGTGCAACAACTTAAGGCTCGCATCTCACCCACCCATCTCGACGCGTTCACCATAGAAAGCGCATGGCTGGTAAATACGCGCGAGCAGGATTCAAACTCCGCTAAAGACCCCAGGTCCAGACAAGATCCAGCCCCTCCTCTTCGGTGATTTTTCTGGGAGACTACTGTTCGAACCGATACCGATAGTGTGTGACGCTGTCCTTGACGCTTTCCACAACTACTTCCAGGAAGCGGTTGTCCTCCGAGCCAAGGTCGTGCACCATGATATCACGCCTGCTGGCCACCCTGGCCCCTTGCCGGGAAGAACGGCGAGGCCTGGCGTTGCTGTCCCACATAGCCCCCGCCCTGTTCTGCAGCACCCTGATCATCTTGTCCGTGTGTCGTGTCATTTTGATGAAGTAGAAGTCGGCACCGATTTCGTACTGTTGGTGAATTGAAAGAATACGCGATGGCAAGGAGGGGGGGGGAATGGTTGGTGTCAGTTGGCACGGGGTTGGTCATAGGGAATAGTGAGCGGAGACGGTGATATCGTCGGATACAACGCTTTAACATATGCGCGCTTTTCGCGATTTGCTGTTGCTTGCATATGGCGGGAGATGAATCGGAGTGACCGGTACTTGACGGCTTGGGACAATCAACGCTGCAAGGCTGCATGCACACACCGACCGGTGATGTTGACAGACCTGCAACTAGGTGTGTACACGCTCGTACCAACGAGGCGGCGCTCACAGAAGCGGCGGATTCAAGGGTGAAAGGACTAGCGTCAAATCCGGCGGCTCCTTTTGCGTAGATACTCTTTATACTGACGTAGGATCCGCCACCCCTGCGAACCGCCCCACATGCACACACCTGTAGTTCGTAGAGCAGCTTGGATGGGTCGTTTCCCTTCGGACAGCCGTTCGGGTACCTGTCCCCGATCCCGATGTGGTACATCGAGCCGTGGCACGGGGCGTCGGCGAGGAGGATGCAAAGGCGGATTGTGCCCCTCCAGTCCAGCTCCGTGGCGAGCTTCAACCCTCCGGCAACGTCCTCTGGGAAGTCAGCGCCTGGATGATGTGGTACATGAAGGAACGGGTTAGAGCGAGGGGAAGTATCGCCATTCAAGAGAGATGCTGACGCGAAAGGCACGGGTGGGTAGGGGAAGAATGGAGAGGCGTAAGGACACGGGAGGCGAACATTTCAGCGGCGGGGGCGAGGGCGAGTACGTGCACTGCCCAAAAAAGGAAGACCCCATCGGGATTGGCCGGTGGTACTACTCAAGACGAGCGTTGGCTGCCGTGTTCCGAAAAGCCCTCAAGCGAGCAACCGCGACTGCCGCCATGGACAGGCTGGATATGAAGGGAGAAACGACGTGAATAGCCTACAAGTACCACATGTACTACAGCACGATATTCAGTGATGCGAATGCATGCATGCACCTCCGTAGGCCTTAATTTTGTTGAGCTTGGCGCGAAGCTTGGGAAGATCTTGTTCCTTGTGGAAGTCGAACGACTCGTACTGCACTCTGTCTCCGAAGTCGCGATACCTGCAAACGCGGAGGGAGGAGTTTTCGGAAGTTCACCAGGGGCGTGCAGAACATTTCGTTCCTAGGGGAACGTGGTGCGGAAAGTTGAAATAGCCTTGATCGGATTTCTAGCGTTCACTCACCCATGTAGACGTCGGTCAATCGATGCGCGTATACACCGAAGCACCGACAAACACCTCTGTGCCACAACCAACACCATTATGATTCAGAGGTAGGTGAGAACGAGACCAGGCTGACTAAGGCCATGAGACACAGAGGGAGAGAGGGGGGG